TTCATTTTGTTGGCTCAATTTATGTTCTTGGCTCAATTAACACCCATAACTTGTTATAGCAGACTCAACAAAATCCAGAAGATTACAGTTCAGTATAAATTCTGCCATCATAATATTAAACAGTGCGCCTGATGACCCACAGCGGGCTGAGTGCTTCTCACAAATGGCTGTATCACATCACTGCTCCTTCCTCTGACACAAATCACTGCTCTCTGTCCAGCTTCACTTGACTTTTTATTGCCCTGATGTTTACAGCGCTCTTTACAAGTCAGGCTCCGTGCTGAGTTTGCAAAGGGAGTTTGACAGTTTTGAATCACTGTCATCACCTCACCTCTTTAAACCAGTCATACATTCTTTATCTTAATTTCTGTATACAGAGGAAACAAAGGAGCAAGAGCCCCTCGATAGAAGTGAAACTCTGCATTGTAAAATAGAGCATGACGAAGGAAATCTTACCTACCCACGTTTTTTCTTAAATAAACTTTCCTCCCTACTCCGATTCAGCCAACAGCTGCTGAGTAGACCGGGGGCTGTGGTCCGCTGCAGTGAGCAGCGGGGTTGGAGGGCACCAGGCCGTGGTCTGCACTGACGTAAAAAGGGCCCTGAACAGGAAAGGTAGCGGTTAGAAACCTTGTCATTAGCTAACCGTGCTATGCTGTGATGTCAGGGAAGGGAAGAGAGCAGGATGACGATCTGTGATTGGAATCTGGATGAGTTCGAGAGTCTGCATAGGTGGAAATGTTCGATCACTCGCTGCTTTGACTGACAGCTTAGCAGGTATGTTTTGTCTGGCTAAATATATCTTTGCTGCTTTATTACTTCCTGTCTTTGTGTGTTGCAGGTGGCAGGCAGAGGGGAGACCAAATCAGTCGCCAACGGTGAGTTTTTATAAGGCACCAGAAGAGCATCGGCTCGTAACTGCAGAGCTTGTAAATTTGTGTGCAAGCTACCATACAAATGGGTGGGCAGGCATGTAAGCGTGCACGCCTCAGTTGTCGGGTGAACTTGTGGCTCCACAGTGTCAACAAAGAGGCTCACGTGATCCCACTGGTCTGAGGGAAAGGACTCAGAATGAAGACCCGGAGACAGGGTATCTCAAGAGAGAAATCAAAAAGGCAAAAAGCACAAGGAGGATCAGAGGTCACACATGTTCTAACAGAGAGCTGGAACACTGATCTCAAATGTGTCAAGATAAACAGGCAAAACTAAAGAGGAGTCAACAAGACATAGGTGACACAGGGGATCAGGGAGAGAAGTAGCTTGAAACAAGACAAGAGGTGAGTTTCATAATAAAACAGGAAAGCACCACGGCTAGCATTCCAAACAAAAAAAACTAAATGTTTTAGTGTCTGACGATAAAAGAAACCATCTCAGTGAAGCCCAGACAAGTAAAGGTCCAGTTTGAAGGTTGTTACCGGCTGTTTGTTTTATACAAAGCCATGTGTCCACAAACCAATAACTGGCCTTGTCATATCCACCCCTGTGTCGTTTACATGTTGCTGTTTGGCCTTTTGCTCCGCAGCATTTTAGGATACCACTTGCTTGCTATTTTAAAAATCAGCCCCCGCCTCGTTTTGCCCCCACACCAGTGTGCAGGAGAGAGCGAGAGAGAGATGATTTGGCCTTGAGTAATTTCGCACACATCTGCGTAATGTGTTGCTTGTTCAGCGCACAGGATCGCACACACACACACACACACACCGGTTTCACCTCTGTAAAGCCGCTCAACAGCCATCTCATCGCCACTCAAACCTTGCAGCTCTTCCACTCATGTACACATCCTCTTGTGCTGCTCAGACCGCAGCCCTGCCTCTCTCGACTGCAGAGCCGGTGCTCCTGCCAGGACAGTTTGTCACATTAATAGCTGGTATGTTGGAGATTAGTGCAGCATCACAGTCTGACTCAGAGGAAGACAAGAGGCTTTGTAGATTGTGTGCTTCTTGCCAGTGGTTGGCTGCAGGACCTTACAGACATGTGACACCTCACCTGGACCACATGCAAGTTAGCAGAGACACACTCTCCACATGCTCGGCTGTGATAGAGAGTCTCCACAAATGTTCACAAGTTGGGTGTAGGTGGAAATTGAACCCCTCACTGACTTGACTAAACTTAGAATGATAACTTTCAAGGGATGTGGAGTGGTGTTACTCTGCACAATATTATATCATTAATACAGGATCGCTTTATTTATAGGTCAAGAGGTTATGCAAAATAGGTCAAGCTGATAGTGATCGCCCTCTGCTGGATCAGGAGACAAACTACTTCAGGTGGTGTGACGCACTTTTAGACTGTGGATTTGGAACAGGTCATAGTTCTTAGAAGAGATATATCTATTTGTGGGTTCACGCTGCTGCCATTTCATCAATCTCTTGCAGGAGCACTGCTGCAGCCTGAAAGCCTGGAAAGCCCCACTTTTAAATACAGGCATGTTAATGCGATAATAATCTTAAGAGCTGCAACCAACAAACATGTTAAAGCAGCACATTTATGGATATATGACTTGTGGAAAGATACTATTTCACAAGAGTTTTGAGTCCTTGTGTACAGTCAAAGTTTCCTTGGAGCCAGCATCAGATATCCTATAAACTGCATGTAGACGGCAGTTAACTGCATGACTCCAGCCCTTCACTGTGGCGTCTGCCTCTTGCTCTGACCCTTTGTGTCTGCGGGTCCTTGTCATTAGCCCACACCTGTCTGCAGACTTAGTCCAGCTGCTGATAGACCTGATTTGTGTCTCTTTCCAGGGATGGGGCACTAATGTCTTGAAGAAGCCAATGACGCTGGGGACCATGACAATCCAAGACGCTTCCTTTGACTTTGTCTTAAGAACCAAATAATGACCACACGACCAAGAGGGGACCCCAAGAGAACGGAGGGACAGGAGAGATGCTGTCCAAGCACTGTACTGAAACAAGATCTTATTTTTGTACGGTTGCAACAAATAGTGCCTTTGCACAAAGATTTTTTTTTGCTTTCTAAAAGAAACAAAATGCTGTGAAATTTGGACATTTGTAATTACTGTTACTAATTACTTTATACAATCCAGCCAGGAAGAAGGAAAACTAATTAAATTTAGATTTATCTTGTTTTGTACTCCACGCCAACAGTTCTGATAAGAGACAGAATAGATGAGATAAACGTTTCCACATTCAGAAGAGATGGGTGAAATCAGTTCTCTCCCTCATACAGATCATTTTCCATCTCTCTTTTTTTATTTATATTTAAAGCAAAAGCTTCACACATTGCTATTTTATTCAACGTTCACCAGTTCAGGATAGAAATATAAGCACTTATAGAATTTAGCTGATTTCACTTTTTATTTTGTCTTACCAATAGTGCAGCAATGGTCTGAGTAATATATGTTAGCACATGTGATGTTTTGAATATGACCTATCATACTGTATCGTATATAACATCTTTATACTCAAAAACAAAAGGTATTGTTTGCTTTTTTTGTATCCAGAAACTATTCACCAACAGGCAATTCACTTTGGAGGTGATAGGAGTGTTGAATATTCAGAAGGCCATTATGACTCTTATTATCCTTTGTGTCATTTTATTTATGTTTTAATGTGTTTTGTTCTTTTCTATTTCTCGCTGTTTTTGTAGCTTTTGTACCTGTTTGATCACTTTAAAAATCTTCAGACATTCCTCTCTTGAAAAGCAGATGCTCGAGCTGCTGTCTCTGCTTGAAAGATGTAGGTTTTATAATGTGGGGAATTGGCAAACCACTTTTTTTTTAATCTACCTTTAACTTTTTTTACTTTTTTGCCTCTAGTCTGTGCACACTTTCTGCTCAGCATTCATTTTCTAATTGAGGGCATACTAAGTAAATTTATAGTGCCTAAGCATTTAGCAAGACACTAGTACAGTACAAGGATATTTACCACTATGTAACTCTTCTGGCCTTATGATTGCAATGACAGCTGAGGTACAGTACATAAAAGCCTCCAAGCAACTCAGTACGATACTAAGACTGGTTTTCATGTTTATTTTTCACTTGCGTGGTCTTACAGCAGCGTGTTCCCTTTCAATTGTTATGCGGCAGAAGCTTTGACGAGTGTATGAGTGGTTTACCCGGGCATTAAATTGATCCATGTTACTGCTCAAAAGTCTGACAATCACATTCCATGGCTCCTGAAAAGAGCAGGGGAGCTTGACCAAAATATTTTAAAGCGTGACTTAATGTGACATTTATGTTTTTTTTTTTTAGTACAGTGGTTTCATAACGCCGTATTGTTCTTTTTCTACAACCTTGTGTCCATTTTATGTTTTTTTAATTCTTTTATTTCCATGTTTAACCAGACACTCTGTTGTTGTGTAGTGCTAAGCCTATGCAAAACACACTATCTGTAGTCTCTCTGAACACTCCCAATGTCATACAAGTGGGCAGTTTCCAACTGGATGGATGTTTTAAACATTGTACCCTTTTACTCAACAACAGCAATAAAGACATTGAGGTATTCCACATTGTTCCGTTTCAAGATATGTCTTCTCTACACACAGAACCCATTATACACTGTGTTTACCTTAGACTGTATAGAAAATGGATGACACATCGCCACTTCCTCCCACTATCCAGAAACCAAGCCAAGATATTTGGGATAAAAACGCCGCCATCGTGCACCCATGACCGTCAATCATGATGTTTAACCCTGTTTTATAGCATTAAATAACAAATTAAATCCATCTCTAAGCAAAATATATTGATGTGATTTTGCTTTTTAATTTGGCTCAAGTCCCGTTCACGAACTTTATTGTTAAAATGATAATTTCCCTTTAACCTCCAATCAATGAACTTTGATGAAACAGTAGAAATCATTCACAGACAACATGGATTGAGTCGCTGTTGGAACCAGCCTCTAGTGGACACTTGGTAAACTATGTTGTTGTTTTTTCAACTTCCGCATTAGCTTCCTGTCTCGGGCCCGGAATTTGCGGATATGGCGTCAGTGAGCTAACAGCAGGTGAGACACGCTGAGTTAGCGCTCTAGCTAGCTGCAGCTGCTAAGTTTCCTGTTTATTTGACATTACGAGAACACATGGACATTTCTACCAAGTATCTAAAGCTACAGTTAAATACACGAGTTATTTACATTGGGGCTCCATGAAGACCAGCTAGCTCATGTAATGTAAAGATGGTAGAAGTTAGCTAGTGTTACTTTGCTCCTATCAACCGAATGGAGGTGAACATATATACATTGACATTTCTCTAAAAAGTATATATAGTATAAATATAACAGTAAGGATTTATTTCCATTGTGCTCCTTTGTAAGCTGAAGCTCATGTAATGTAAACATATCTTTAGCTTGTTAGCTAGTGTTACTTTGCTGCTATCAACCAAATATAATAAGTTTCCTGTGTGGGATCATTGGTTAATCTTCACACAATAGGCGTTTTTGGGTTTTATCCCCATCAATCAGACTTTACAGTTGCTCTGAATATTTGATGGTTGATGGGGAAAAGCTCTTGGATAAATTTACATTCTCCAAACCCTTGCACTGCTTTCTGTTACTTCTCTTTTTTTTCCATCAGCAGCACGGAGCCGCCCAGTGCTGATGTATTTTTTTAGAAACTTAAACAAACAACAAACAAGAAAAAACAAAACATCACAAGATGCATTTAATTTCCAGGTCTTAAAGTCATCTGAAGAGGAAACCAGTTGTGTGTCCAGTGTCAGGCCTGGAGTGAAGCAGATTACGGGGAGCACTCGAAGGCGACATTCCTCTCCAGGTATAACTCATCTCTCTGACCCCAACAGTAGAACTGACGACCCTGACCAGTCAGAGAAAAGATATGCGGTCACATGATGGACGAGGCTGTATTAAGTATGCTTTTTGGAGGGTTGGATGATTGAACTTGTGTCTGTCTGGATGTGAGGATAAGACCTGACTTTACTGGTAATCCCATCTCTTCCTCTGGGATACACAAGGAGGTAAGAGCATGACCTCTGGGCACATCGCAGCAAAACCCTTACACCATATTGCGTGTCATCGAATTTAAATTGATGTAAAGGTTTATATTTGACATTAAATTTGACAGAAACTTGAGTGAGCTTTTCTGAATTCAATCTGAAAACCCCTCAGCATGATCTCAGATTTTACTGCTACTCAGACAAAGCCTTGACTGCTGAATTAAATTGGCTTAGACGTTGCCTAAGTAGCCTCTTTAAGATTTTATGATGGCTTTTGTTTGATGTATCCTGATCCGAGCGGTGCATATGCCGGGTAAGAAGGTGCTAAGCTCGCCCCTGAGACTGTCGTGTTTGGCGCATGCTTCGGGGTTTGACTTTAATGCGGCCTAATGCCGAAACCAGCACCCGCAACATTCCTGCCACTGTCAGACTGTGTGTTATTCCATCGTTTCAGCCAGACGGGGACTGACCACATGCATTAAAGCAAATACATGCTTAATACCCCAGCCATGACAGCCCGCATACACTGTGAATTCTTTCTTGGTTTTCCAGTCGGTGCTTTTCCTCAACCAGATGGTATTTGTCTTTCTCCTCCTCCTACGTCCTCCCCTGTCTCACTCTCTTTCTCTTCACATTTCTCATTCTTTGTCTTTCAACATCAGCTGCTCAATCTGATGAAACAAGTAACAACCACAATGGGACTCCAAGCACCATCGTTTGAATTTGAGTAGAGATGTAGTCGAATTTAAACAGAAGCGGGACTTTATTATTTTACAGTAAATCATAAACAGAGAAGGTGTAAATATGCCATGTAGAGATTGAATGTGCAGCTGGCCCTTTGAAATGAGTTGGAAACACAGGTCTGCAGCCAGGCAGGAGGAGGAGAAGGGTTGGAAGTGGGGATGTGGAGCTACTTGTCCACATCACCATTTAAATGTGTGCATCAAGAAAGTTACTGCTATTACCAAAAAAAAGAAGCACTGAACTTGTCTCTGTGATGACGGAGATGTTTAAGAAACAGGACAAACCCCTGAAAGACAAAACATGTTCCTCATGTAAACTCCAATGACAGAAATAGCCTGTGAGTGTGGGCCCGCCCCCTGACTGATTTACTGTGTAAATGTTGAGGTGCGCTCAACCTATTGTTTTCAGGACTAACTTAACACCTGTTCAAAAGAACGCTCTATTATTCTTAAAAATAGACCCCCGCTCTCCCCCACCGTTTGGCCCTACTGACACCAGTTTTTACGATCTGGTGATTTATAAGCGTGTGGAAAATACGTGTTGTGCACAGTCATATGTAAAGATGTAAAGAGCCCAGTGGTTCAGCAGCCTCATTGAATCCATCCCTGTAACCTTGAACCCAAACAACCCAGTGTTGTTTTGGAAGCTGCTTTGACAATAGTTCCTTTTCTTCACTTAAAGATGCTCACAGCATTTTCTTTAACGATTAACTGAGGTTGGGATTTAATGAAGCTGAGCGTTTGATGAAAAGATCAATACCATTCAATTCTTTTCCCTAAATATTAAGTGACAGCTGGTTAGATTAGCTCAGGATAAAAACTTAGAAACAGTTGGAAACAGTTAGCAAAGCTCTGTTCCAGCAAATCTAAACAACGCACATTAACATGTTGTTTCATGTTTGTCTAATACATTCAAAAATCAACAAGGGTTCAGTGCTATTAATTAAACTGCTATCACGTCTATACAAATCTTCTCATCGAACTCTCACCAAGAAAGGGATTTACATTATAACATATATCTGGTCTAGTACTACCTAAAATGACAGAAACAATCTTTGACGCTGGTGGCGCTCAAGATGCTTCGGCTTCACTTCTGTTCTGGAGCTGTTATGTTTTCCATCTATTTATACAGTCGAAGGTAAACACTCACTTCTATCAACCTTGAATCCAAGAGTGACACCGGCTATCTGTTAAAAAGTCGGGGATAACCCCGGATGTCAGCATGACGTCATCAGGGTTATTCTTCATGAAGGCACAAAGGGCTTTATACAGTTGTTCTCACTGGGTTTAAGTGAACTGAGCTTGTGTGAAATTGTTGGAATGTCCCTTTAATGAGTAAAGTAAACAGTAAACAGACCGCACTGAAATAAGTAAAAAAATGTACTTGAATAAAATATGTTACGTTTGAACACAAAATCCCATTTAATATGACGGACATCTCTTCCAGCGCTCTTCTTCAAAGTGTTTTGAGCTCCTGGAAAACTGTTTCCGAGTGTTTGTATAAAAGCTGATACGACATGCGTAGCTTCAGGTGCATCAGAGCGTCCCTGAAGAACTTGTGCAGTGCCGGTAGTTTCAGAGCTGCTCAGACACCAGTCAGCCGCCTGCAGCCTTGATCAGTGCCAAGAGGAAATGACTGAGGATTAGGCCTGGAGTTGTTTAAAGCCCTGGGCCCCTGCTCGCTGTGCCCGTGGTGGAATAATTTCAAATTCTACAATTGTTCCAATCTCCCATCACATAGCCAAGTTTTTTTCTTTCTCTTTGTAGGTTTTTATTTTGCTGTTTACACAAATGATAAAAGCGGAGAGGAGAAGAGGAGAAACCATCTGTCCAAGTGCCCACAGCAACATTACAGTCGATAAGATAAAGAGGAAAATATCATGAAGTAAAAAAGCAAATCAGAGCAAGAAAATCATTCAATTAGAAAAATGAATGTGAACAGCTCTAATTACATTGAACCCCAGAGAACTGAGCGTCTGGGTATCTGTGTGTACGAGTGTATGTTTAACAGCTGAGTTAAAATATTAAAACTCTTAACACAAAACAGGGATTCATTAAAAATGTATTTTGAAGTGATGTGTGGTGTTTTGATTGATTGTGTGCTTTCCACTTTAATACAGATCATTTGAATCCAAGATGTCTGAAGAGGTAGTTGAGGAGATGCAGTGAGTACTTTTATTTGTTCTTCTGAACATTTCCTGTTTTATGTGCAGGACAGATTTTTGGTCTAAAAGTTCAAATCTTCACTTCTTTTCTTCTCAGAGACGAAGGTAAGTAAAGGCTTTCAGAGTGTTGAGAGGGGTTTTTTTTTTATGAAAAGCAAAATGTCACTACCAAGCTTCCATCACTAGACGTAGCTGACCCGATTATGTCTGTTCAGAGGTAGAAACACAGCAAGACGAAGGTAAGGACTTCTGCACTACACTGTGTGTGTGTGTGTGTGTGTGTGTGTGTGTGTGTGTGTGT